GACGCTCACCACTGAGTGAGTTCTCTTGACATGTTTTTCATGTCAATTTTGCTCTTACAGCATTTTTACCATTGTAATTATTTTATATATGTAAAAATCAGTAACAAAAAACAAAAGTAGACATTTAATCACATTACTAGTACTCGTTTCTTTTATTTTTCATTTTTCGTTTATTTTGTATGCTTCATGTTCTTTGTATTGTTCCAATTTTATTTTATGAGGCTTATAATTATTTTTCGATCCAGCTTTTAACTAAAATGTTAGATAATACAATTAAATGAGCTTCATCTCAATCTAATAACAATAATTCATAATATTTCAAACTATATAAATTAAATTTTAGTTTAAAATTCAGACTGTATGGGTGGACCTAGGGAAGGGTCCAGACCGCCTGGAAATCAGAAAAATACATTATATGAAGAATTAATAAATAAATCTACGTCGTTAAGATCTTAATGCAAACCAATTTTGATTAGGCCATCATTAATATTAAACCGTAGCGTTCCCAATCGTGGAGAAAACCGTAGATCGTTTTGAAAAAGAGTAGTATTTAAAAAAAAATTGTGTTGGCCAAATCATGATTGAAGTTGAATGTAATGTTGTTCACTAAAATTGTAGTGTCTAACATCAGTAATTAGAAGATTTCCGGAAATCGTGAGATGCGGTCTGGTGCAATGTTGGTTTCAGAATAACATTTTCTTTATCATGCCAACGTTTCGATCTTTATTGAGATCATCTTCAGGGCATGAAATTTACAAACATTGTTTAAATTTAACAAATATATGTAGGATATGGAAAAAAGTGAATTTATACAATGCAAAAAATAGTTTTTAATTATTAAGTTTTTAGTTGAGATAAAAAAGTCAGTGTCACGAGCAGGATTCGAACCCACGATCTTCGGCTAGATACGCCGCTGCTCTATCACTTGAGCTATCGTGACCTCGATCCACTCGGACACTAACTTCCCATCCCAATCCCACCTTTTGAATTTTCTCTTCTTTTTGCCATTTAAAAAAAAACCTTAATTAATTGAAAGATACTAATTGGTCAAGCGGACCACGAAACTAGTGAATTTAACAGATTTTATATTCAATCAAAGTATTTCTAGTAATTAGCCAGGGTAAGTACCCACCAAATGTAGTTTTCCTGTCTGTTCTAGCAAAGGGATTTTTATTGTTTATTAAAATTAAAGTTTTATAAATTAATTAAAGATGTTTTAATGATCTTCGACTTTGTTTTTTTCATTTTCGTTCTAAAGATGCTACTTTTTACTGGGCCTGTCTGACGAAAAACGGAGTGTCAGTAATTAGATTAGGACACTCAAGCAGTTTTCATTTCAATTTGTAAAAATGTACAATATTTTTGACAAAATGAATTTTTTAAACAAGACCATTTGTAAAACTTCACGGTTACTTCCTTTTAATTTTGATTTTCTGAGCTTTTAGTTAGCAAAATCGAAAACATTAAAAACTGCCATGCCCTTATAGCATGCTGTGGCTCTAATTCTCTTAAGTACTGGATGGGCGGGTGGCAGGGCTCAACCACGTCCTTTAGGTCGTTTACAGGCTTCGTTTATAGCCCGCCACCCTCTTTTTTAAGTTTAAGGTTGAAATCTCTTAACCGGAATTTCGAAAAAGCGCCGATAAATTCTACAAAGCTAGACTAATGGGATGGCATTCATCAGGACAGGATGAAAGAGGATACCCAAGAAGGAAATAACGGTAAGAGAAAAAAAAAATGGTTAAAAATGGTAATATAGAAAGATTTTTGTTTTGTTGTTTACATAGTAAAATTTGCCAATAAATAATTTCAAGCGAATACCAATATTTTAAAGTTATTTTATGTATATATTAAAAACAGCAAGGGTCATATCAACCCTCATGATGCCGATGTTTTTGAAAACAAGCCCATTTGTATGAATATCGGGTTCGAATAAAATTAATTTTTACATGTGTAACTTATGACAATAATTTGTACGTATTTCATCACCTAAATTCCATTTTCAGAGAATATCTTTCGAAAATATTTCCTTTCCCATAAATCTAGAGATTCCTGCGATGCGCCTGTACCGGATCTCTCACAGCAAACTAGGCTGCCATAACCAAACTCTTGATTCACATGAAGACACCCGAATGTTTCCCGCTCTACTGAGGATGTCATATGGTGTACAGCGCGATGGACCGGCTATAAAGTGGATTAACATGATTTTAAACCAAACTATTGGTCATGTAGGTATTAGCAGTTGCAGCTATTTACATCAATAGTTTTCCAAGGAGTTTTTCAAGGATTTTGTCAGAAGGGACTGATCTGAAGGTTGAGAAGGTTTGTTGTTTTTTAGGATCATTTTAATTATGGAGAATTTCTACTGTATTGAAAAAGTTTTAAGCTTAGTATATCGTAGATCGGAAAAAGAAGAACTTTTTTAAATTTCTTGAGCAGAGGTTTTTTAACGAGGGTTCGCAACAGCAGAGGTTACTCAACCCTCGGGGTGCCGGTGTTTTTGAAAAAAAGCCCATTTGTAAGTTTGTCGGGTTCGAATGCAGGGCCGCTGGTTTCGAACCCGGGACCTTTACCTTACAGTGATGAGCGCCGTGTCAACGCCTAAACCATTGCGGCCACCGACGCCCCCAACAGATGTTAAAAAATTAAAATGTTCCTTATTTACATTTATCGTTTGTTTTTTCGTTTATAATCCTTAGTAAGTTTACAGAAAAATTAATGCTAAAATCGTCTATGACAGGTGTTAAAATGTACATTACATGTTAATCACATAATAAAAGTAATTTGATATTTCACGCTAGCCGGCGTCATGTACATCCTTGTATAATTTAACTCGATCATATGTAATATTTTGGTAAGCATAAATTAACACGGACCTGACAGCATTGAATTCTACGTGCAATAGAAGCATTGTGTCAACTCGCCTGCAGCTGATGTCTAATCGATGGCCAAAATTTACACGTCGACTACGAAAATCGTACTTATTTTAAAATGTTTACAGTTTTCATATAAAAATATTCATTTATTACCTTAACATATAATATGCTGCCAAAAAATGAAAAAAAAGCAATTTAAATGTTTCCTTGTGGTCATAAAAACTAACTATACAATTAAAATAATTAAAATGTATTAAATATTACTAATGATTATTTGAGATCATGAATTGCGGTCTGGTGTGACGTAGGTTTTAGAAAAACATTTTCTTGATCGTCCGAACGTTTCCATCTTTATTGAGATCATCTTCAGGGCCTGGGATTTAAAAAGATTGTTTAAATTTAACAAATACATGTAGGATTTGGTAAAAAGTGAATTTATACAATGCAAAAAATAGTATTTATTAATTAAGGTTTTTAGTTGGGATAAAAAAGTCAGTGTCACGAGCAGGATTCGAACCCACGATCTTAGGCTAGATACGCCGCTGCTCTATCACTTGAGCCACTCGGACATCAACTTCCCATCTCAACCCCACCTTGTGAGTTTTCCCTCCTTTTTGCCATTTTTCAAATGTCGTGTAATCGGATTGGATTCTCGACGACAAAAAAATTTCTATCATTGTATAAATTCCTTTTTTTCATATCTTACATTTATTTGTATAATTTAAACAATGTTTGTAGGTCTCAGTCCCTGAAGATGTTCTCAAAGATCGAAACGTTGGCACGATAAAGAAAATGTATTTCAAAACCACGTCACATCAGGCAGCATCTCACGATCTCCAAATAATCATTAATTAACGGTCACTAAACACCATACAATATTACTAATATTCCCTATTTTTCGTGATCCGCTTGACCAATTAATAACATTCAATTAAGGATTTGATTAATTAAGGTTGAGATAAAAAAGTCTGTGTCACGAGCGGGATTCGAACCCACGACCTTCCGCTTGATACGCCGCTATTCTACCACTTGAGCTATCGTGTCTTCGATCCCCACGGGCACTAACTTCCCATCTCATTCATTGAAAATTCAAAAGGTGGGGTTGAGGTGGGAGGTTAGTGCCCGAGGGGATCGAAGTCACGATAGCTCAAGTGGCCTATCAAGCCGAAGGTCGTTGGTTCGAATCCCGCTGGTGACACTGACCTTTTTATCTCAACTTAAAACTTTAATTAATTACTAATATTGTATAAGTAAGGAAGTATATATATTTATATATATTATGTCTGTCTTACATAAGTCTTTAAGGTCAAACTACCCGTTTTGTTTCGCAGATAAGAGGATAAATCAATTTACACTATATTTTTCAATAATCAAGTAAAAATCCATTTGCTCTGCCTGGATTCGAACCCAGAAACTCTAGCTGGCAAACCCTAGACTGATTTTCGAGCCGTGTCCTGGCTCCTCTTCAAGTTGATATTCTATTATATTATTGATATGACTACATCTAATTTATTAAATGGTAAAAATTTCGCTTTAGTTTTGTATAAATTCTAAGTTTGCTTACTGTGTTTTTATTGTTCGTTTTTTATTCAGATATCGTGAGATGCGGTCGGGAGTGATGTAGGTTTCAGAAAAACATTTTCTTTATCGTGCCAACGTTTCGATCTTTTATTGAGATCATCTTCAGGGCCTGGGATTTACAAACATTGTTTACATNAATACTTTGTTTGAATATAAAATATATTTTGCATTGTATAAATTCACTTTTCCACATCCTAAATGTATTTGTTAAATGTAAACATTGTTTGTAAATCCCAGGCCCTGAAGATGATCTCAATAAAAGATCGAAACGTTGGCACGATAAAGAAAATGTTTTTCTGAAACCTACATCACTCCCGACCGCATCTCACGATATCTGAATAACTATCGATTAACGGTCACTAATCTCTACAATTGTTCGTTTTATTATGTTATGTTTTTAAAACAATGAAATGTCATTTCGTTTAAAAAATAATCAAACAACCTACTCTACAATATTAAATTGTGTACTAACTTTTTAATATTTTGTTAAGGATGGTTAAATTTTTTTACCAGGCACGTTTATGGAAAATTATAATTTATTACCTTCCGTTTTTCGGTCCTACGTTGGGCACGTAGGAGGAACTGGCGGTGACAGCATTGTCCGGGATTGCTCCCGACTCCATACCGAGGGCTCCTTCGCAAGTACCTAAACAAAAAGAAAAAAATAATAATAAAAATGCTGACAGAAAATAAAAAAATGAGTTTTTAGTCAATATTTGTAGAGAAATTTAGAATGTCCAAAAGACAAAAATTGGAAATCTTAGATTGAACAGGTTGTCCATGTCGAAGTGATAAAACCCATTTTCTCTAATAATAAGGTATAAAAACACAAACCGTTAATGCCTTTTATTGTTTTACGAAGAGTAAAAATTGTATTATTCTTAGGATTATAATGGGTACAGTACATAACTTTGAAATTTTAAGGGTGTATTGTTTTTATTACTAAAAAATACCATCTTGTTGAATATTTTTTAAAATGAACTACAACTTTTCTGCAGAATAAATCCGCCGGACTTACAAACGTTTGACGTACGTATATGAACTTCGAGCTATAGAAGTATTTCAATGAATTAGTTGAAAGTTGCTAGTCAAATGTTATTGTGTACTTCATCACACATTCACGCTAATAAACACATTTACTCTCAACACAAAATTCCGCACGGCTGCCCTGGAAGTCTTTCTGAGGCTACCACCATTACACATCTTTATCCAGGAAGAAGCTAGAGCCACAATTCAGAGGCTAATGCAGGGACATGCTTCAATAGCATACTCACATAACATGGAGCACCTCAAGCATCGAGGGGAGCTTCAGCTAGTCAGAACTTCGGGGATAACTACAGATGCCATGGCCCGTAAATTCAGTTTTGAGAAAAATTTTCAAAATAAAATACCATTAGAGCAGACTGTGAGAAAGGGATCACAGTTAATGCCGACCATATCTGGTTTACAGATGGGTGCATATGGGTGAATATGGGTCAGGAGCTGGCATTTAAGGAAATAAACCGAGAACTAGACTTCATAAAGCTTTAGACAATACGCCACCGTTTTTCAAGCGGAAACTTAGCTATTGATCACGGTGTCAGGGTGATAAAAAGGCTGGGGATTGTCAATAGAAGAATAGCATCTACTCGGACAGTCAGGCGGAACTGAAGGCAACTGCAGCATCGACAGTAAAGCCCAGTAAAGTCCTAGTTTGGGAGTGCATTAGAGCAATGTCAGACATTGTGGAAAATATCAAAAGTACACTAGTCTGGGTGCCAGGGCATACAGGGCAGAGGGGCATCAAAGAGGCCGATAAATTGGCCATAGAAAGTTCAATGAGTACTTATTGGCTATGAACCCTTTTATGGCAGAAAAAACTTCCAAAAACGTGGTTCCATTAGAAAATGGATTAATATTAAGTCCTCTGCTCAATAGGAATGCGAAAAGGATTATCAAGTGGCCACTGCAGGAACCAACGGCAGAACTACTAAATCTAGGACATGCTAGGACTAGAAAAATAGTTGGCCTAACTGGACATTCGGAGTGGCAGAAACAAGCCTGTGCTTTGCCAAGAAGAAGGAGATCAGCGGAACAGGTCCTTTATTGCTGTGAAAGCCTATAGGCTTTGAGTCCTAATCCTGGGAGAGGAAAACCAGGGCCTGATGGATACACACGGGACCCTTTGTAAAAGATTTGGGGGTAAAATGCCTTAAGCTTAACGAGGAGTTCTAGATAAAAAAATGAAGATCCACTATAGACCAAAAGAGGTCGTGAAGAGGATAGCTTCTCTATGGTGTAATCAAATCCCTTATGCTGTTAGAAGATTCTTGTCTTTTTAGTAAGACCTCTGTCAAAAACTATCTGCCTTCAAACCTCTAAATTCCGTGGAGTTAAACCGTCTGTGCCTTCAGTGCCGCTCTTAAGCCATATCTGGCTCCTTGCAGCTTCATGGCTTGCGCTGCTAATAACATTTTCGTTTATAGACGGAAGCTATGCTTTATTCTTTTCTCTCTTTATTCTATTTCACAGACGGTCGCATCTCTACTCCACTTAACGAGCTTTTCGTCACAGTAAAACTGCGTCCGGGATGGGCCTCGCGGAGGCGGCTCGCTTGGGATTTAAGTGGAGGAGGAATATGACTCGTATCGTCTTTGCTCTTCTGTCTATTTAGGTTTCCAACCTTTTCTCTTCATTATACACTTTCAAAAATGTTGAGTCGTCTTTAGCCCAGCCGGTGTACTTATTGCTTGTCTCAGCACCTCCATATTAGCTGTTTGTGCGTTGTTTTCGAAGAGCCATTGAACACGCTCTACAATGTACTGAGGACAGCACAATGCCACGTGGCCCACCGTCTCCGGCTCTCCACAATCGCATAGGGGGTTCGCCTTTAGATTGAAGGAATGGAGCTTAGCGGCAAAGTCTCCATGACCTGTCAATAGCTGGGACATATAATGATCCGTTTGGAAGTGTTTTAGGAATCTGTCCTTTATGACTGGGAAGAGCAGATGGGTATGGCGACCTTTGGTGGATCTATCCCACCTTTCTTGCCATTCACCTATCATCCACTCTTCCGCTTCTTCTTCGATGGGATCATGGCGTCCGCCCGTTTTTGATTTCCCATTTGGCGCAGAGCGCCCTCGCCTTCAAGTCAACAGGAGGCCTGCCAGCGACGACCTGTAAAGCCGCCGTGGAAACCGCCGCGAGGAAGGCCGTGCGTTCAGCGCGCTCCAGCACTGACCAGTCCGCTGCGCGTAACTCGCGGATCGACGCAGGAGCCGCGTATAGCATCACGGACTCACACAGTGCCGTGTAATACACTTGCCGTGTTTTGTACGGAGTTAAACGGAGTGGAGTTAAACGTATAAAATTTTGTACCAAGCAAGTTGCGACTAAGTTTAAATTTTTTTAAGTACTCACTAGAAATCGGTGATAAATCTCAACCCCCATTGATCGTCATTAACCCATGGGATATAAAGAGCAAAATAAGGGGCCATAATGTAAACAGCATATTACCCTTACTTACATATTTTATTCCTCCTCCTCCTATCTCCCTAGAGGTGGCCCTTAAGGCTAATCTGTGTTTACACACATGTGCCCCACGAGCTGGGGCTATGACTATGCACTTATTAATACACAATGACTACCTTAATCACGCCGTTACCAAAATGAGTGTTTTGGGGGGAGGGGCGAACGGGGAGTTTTAACGGGCTTTTGTCGGCCTCGGGGAGATGACTCAGAAAAACATGAATAATTACCAGACAACAATGAGGTAGATTAATGGATCCGACAGTCTTTACCGTGGATGGACAATTTGTCTAAATAAGGTGAGCTTATCCCATTGTTGTTTTGAAAACATCAAACACGGTAAATGATCCCTCGGGCCGCCCTTATCTGTGGGTAATTGAAAAAAAAACCGAGCCCGGTAATGTTCTCTCTGGAGTCCTGGCTGAGTTCTCCGTCTTTCCATCATTTTTCACCCGAAGCCATTTATTATATAGAGAAAATTTCAAAAAGATTAAATGCTATAAGATTGAAAATTTGGACAACGAGGTAATTCCAAAATATTTGGTCCTACTTATATCTTAGCTGAAAAGTGAGTGAAATCACGTTTACAAAAAGAAAAAAAAAGAAAAAGAAAAAAAAAGTGAAGTAAGAAATTGAGGGTGATAATTTCAAAATTTGTTGGGTAACAAACAGAGCGTCAGGAGAATAAGGGAGGAAGAGGAAGAGTGAGAGAGAGAGAGAGAGAGAGTAATAGAGAGAGCGAGAGAAAGAGAGAGAGAGAGAGAGTGAGAGAACGAGTGCAGAAGTGAAAGTTAGGAAAGTGATCATGGAAATTCAGGACAATATATGACAAAAAGCCTATAGAAAAAGAAATAAAAACAAGAGAACAGGAAAACAGGGACTGCATAAATATACAGCAAACGTTATGCAAGTGAGAAAAAGACATAGAGAGAGACAAAGAGAGATTAAAGAAAGAAAAAGAGAGAGAGAGAGAGAGAGAGAGAGAGAGAGAGAGAGAGAGAGAGAGAGAGAGAGAGACAGCCAGACAGACAGAAGGAAGTGAGAAAGAGAGATAAGAGAAAATGAGAAATAGAGAAAGGGAGAGTATGATAAAAGGGAAAGATAGAGAGAGAAAGGAGTGAGAGAGATAGAGAGAGAGCGAGAGAAAAGAGAAAGAGAGAGAGAGAGAGTGAGACAGAAGGAGAGAGAAAGAGGAAAGCATGTGAATACGAAAATGATGGAAGCCTTTGAGAAGAGCGGGAGAAAGTGAGACATAAAATAAGAAAAAATAAAATATGAAAAAATAAGAAACAAAGAAAGGAGAAAGAAGAGAGAAAGAAGAAAAGAAAGAAAAGAAAAAAGGAGGGAAATAGGTAGAGATAATGAAAGTAAGAGAGAATGAGCGGGTGTAAAATTTATCAAAATAATTTCGGACAAAGTAGAAAAAGCGTGACAAAAAATAAATAGGGAGAGAAAAAATGCGAAAAAAGGGTGAACAAAAAAGAAACATTTTTAAAGTAAAGAGACACAAGATACTACATAGTAGTATGAGATATTAGGAAGTTTTAAATAATAAACTGCTCGTTTATCTTTTAAAAGTGAATAAAGCTGCAATTTTAAATTAAAATAAATGGTTTCGCCACGTCGATAGTTCTAACGACTTGAGAACAACTCGTTAAACCAGATTTTTGCGGTGGTAATTTTTTTTAAAAATCTAATAGAGACCGGCAGTTTATACTAATATTTTTTTAATTTCATTGAGTTCGTATACGGTTGTCAGTTCGTCGTGTTAAAAAATAGTTTTCTTGACAATACGTTTGAAATGGAGTCGAAAGCCGTAAACCTCATGGTTGTTTTTCATCCATTCAAATGTTACAATTTTTTTATAGTGTTTATTTAAGAAAAACACGTTTATTTTCATTTAGACTGAATTTGCCTACTCTTACCTACGTACCTTTTCCCAATTTTTGACCCCATTTTTAGATTGACACTGAGTTTCTTTTTAGATTGGTCCACTTTTGTTCTATAAAATGCCAGTCTACTTACAGAACAACTACACAAACATCAAGAAATTTGCGAAATGGTAATTTTAGATCTATTTCTTTAAACCGTAGCTCATATACATGGCATTTTTAAAAATCCATATATGTTTAGCATC